TTGTTGTAAAAGAAGTGCCATGTTAAGTTCGATTAACTGATGATTTAATTATTTTTAGTTATTTTTAATGTAATAAACATATAATTATTTTCTTTTTGGTTTTATTCGCGCTATTTATAAAAACAAAAAAATAAGGCACGTCAACGAATGGAACAACTAGGTAAGGCTCACCGGTGACCCCCATGGCCTAAACAGAGTCTCGATTTTTGGCGTGGTGTTCAACGTGTTAATCCGTTGAGCTATATCGGTTACTCTGGTTTTACTGCGGATATCCTCATTAAAACGTTCATTATGCAGAGAAACCCCGGGATAAGTCCTCTCCATAGCTCGCTGAGCGACTTTGAGCTTCCTCATACAGCCAGCAATGGGAAACCACGTCTCGGACCCTTAAGTCATCATTGGCAGCACGCACTGGTTGTTACAATCTCGTTTTCAAGTCCAACTTCGACCGGTACTTGTTCTTTTAAAGACATGTTGATTTTAAGACTTATCCGTTGTGAGGTACTATTGAGGTCATTGTGGATACTGCTTAGTTCTCCAGCAATTCTGCCATAAGGACTATATCGTTGGCAAATCGAAGGTGAGTGATGTACTCGCCATTGATGTTAATATCGTATCCTTTCCAGTCCAGAAACGTGAAAACATTTTCCAATGTAGCGATGAAGACATAAACATAAACACTCACGTCTGTCACACAGAGGGATAGGCAGAGACTACAGACTTCCATTTGGCACGAATTTAACATACCTCTCGCCTCCTTCACATCCATATATTTATGCATACACGCTCGTCGGTTAAAAATGCTCCCGAGTTGAACGATGTAGAGTTACGAAGATATAACGTTACCATGTCTACACCTCTCTGCATTTGGATGGGTCTCGTACTCTGGTTTTGTACTCGGATATCCATCGTAGCCTTACTATACAAACGCGTCAGCACTTGGATTATACCGACAGTCAAATTGGCACCATTGAAGGAACTGCAACACCGCCCAAATTTCGACGGAATCAAGTCTTTTTCATAGTCCACATACACAAGGCAAAGTGGCATATGTACTTTTCAGTTTTTTGTACAATCCGCCGCAGGGTATGTATGTCAATGGTATTGAAGCCTTTTTGGAAACCGGCTTGTTCGGGAGGCTGAAAGTCGTCGAGTCTGCGTGCGAGACGATTTGTAATGATTTTCGAAAACAACACGTAGACGCGGCTCAGAACAGAACTTGGTCTGTAGTTCTTCAAGAGAACGTTGTCGCCTGCCTTTCTTGAAGAAGAAGACCACCGCACTTCCGCTCCACGCCTACGCAGTAGTCCCACCATGGTGGACGAAATGAGAGCTTCTGAAGGACTTCAAGTACTGATTTTTCCACTTGCTATTAGAAGCTCCGCTGTAATTCTGTAAATTTACCTCGCCCGAGGCCTTGTAGTTTTTAAGATGCTGGTTTATTCCTTTAATATTATTAATTTCACGCGCCTAATTCTATTTTTTTTATGTTTTAGTCAGTCGGATTCTCTTATTTTTAAAAGCTTTTATTCAACGTGCATTGTTTGTTAGGGTCAAATCATACAACTGAATTTTAAAGCAGATATCCTCAATAGATTGAACTGAAATTTTGCATACTTATTGGATGGTGCATGACAATGCATGTTTAGCTAAAAGCAGTAATTCTAAATCCAATATGGCGCACTAGTTATTTTCCGTGCACTGTCATGATATGGGTATGAAATAAATGGGTTTGCTGAGAAGAATACAAAAATAAAATGACGTCATTCTAAATCCAGTATAGTGAACACCCAAAGGTGGCCGACTTTTTTTTTTATGCACCCCCATGATATGGATGTCAAATAAAAGGTTTTGCTGAGAAAAATACGAATAAAATAAAGACCACAGTCAGCTCTTCGAGGAGTTGATGAACTACAGCCAGACTAAATGCGACAACAAAACTGCCAGCTCATGAGGTACCTTGAGGATCACCAGCTGATTAGTGATCGCCAGTACGGTTTTCGTCGTGGTCGATCAGCTGGTGATCTTCTGGTCTACCTCACTCATAGATGGGCGGACTCAGTAGAGTCGAAGGGGGAGGCATTGGCCGATAATTTGGACATTGCGAAGGCCTTCGATCGGGTTTGGCACAAAGCGCTCCTTTCGAAGCTCCCTCCTATGGGCTTGCCGAGGAATTGTGCAATTGGATCACCAGTTTTCTTGCAGATCGGAGCATCAAGGTCGTTGTAGACGGCGTAAGCTCCGATTACAAGCCTATTAATGCTGGTGTTCCACAAAGCTGCGTCCTATCGACAACGCTGTTTCTTCTGCATATCAATGATATGTTGCAAACCTGTAACATTCATTGCTATGCAGATGGATATTATATACTGGTGATGCTCTGTGCTCACCGGCCGTGCCAATATTTCTCAGGAAAACGTCTCCGAATACCGGCACACACTTGTGTCTTAAGTCGAGTCTTTGCTGAACAAAGTCTTGGGATTGGGGGCGACTAAATCTAGTCCAGTTTAACCCCAAGAAGACACAATTTTGCGCGTTAACCGCTAAAAAGAACCCCTTTGTCGTATCTCCTCAGTTCCAAGGCACTCCCCTTGTTGCCTCAGCCAGTATCGGAATCCATATCGAACGATGTGCAGTTTCATAATCACTTGAAAGAGAAGCCCAAATTGGCCTCTAAAAAGCTTGGCGTGCTCTTGGCGAGCGGGACAGTATTTCATGCCGGCACACCGCCTGCAACTAGACAAGGCGCAGGTTCGGCCGCACATGGAATACTGTTCCCATCACTGGGCTGGGGCTCCCCAGTGCCAGCTCCTTCCACTTGACCGCATCCAGCGCAGAGCGGCTCGAATCGTCGACGCACTCAGTCGCACACTTTCCGATCGGCTCGATTCATTGGCGCTACGAAGAGATGTTGCATCTCTTTGAATTTTCTTTTGCATATACCACGGGGAGTGCTCTGAGGAATTGTTCGGATTAATCCCAGCTGCCAAATTTCGTGAACGCACTACGCGGCAAACGTCCCGATACCATCCACACCGTCTGGATTCATGGAGGTCCACCACTGTACGTTCCACAAGGAGTTTTCTTCCGCGTACGACCTCTCTGTGGAATAGTTTACCACCGGCGATTTTTCCGGAACGATACGACCTAGGGACCTTCAAGAAAAGAGCTTACTCCTTTCTAAAGGGCCGGAAACGCACCTGCAATTTCTCTGGTGTTGCGATTGATCATGGGCGGCGGTAGTCACTTAACATCAGGTGAGCCGCATGCTCGTTTGCCCCCTCCTCTATAAAAAAAGCTTTTTAATGTAATAAAATGATGGGTCTGATTTAATATAAAGTTTATTGTGTTTTTTTTAAGCTGTAAAGAAAAGCGTGTTTTTAAATGTTTTTACTACATATTAATTTATTTAAAATATCAACTTCTAATAATATCAAAAACAGCCAGGTACAGAGACGACCGGAGATCAGCCGCCTAAGCGGAAGTTTTCTGTCGCAACAGAAATTAGTTACTTTATGTTATAATAAGTCACAATTCGATATGCATCTGCCAGGGGTGCTGTTTATTTTTCTATACTAACTTGCGAAGACGTTATTGGCAAAACCTTTTGGGGCATTGTTACAGCCATAGGTTTATTGTAAACTGACAACCGTCTACGCTCGAAATACGAAAAAGCTTTTTTCTAAATCTTATCTTAATATAAATTTACATATCAGTTGAATTCTTTTTTCTTATTAGATTTTTATATTATTTATACTATTTTATTATTCGTTTAAAACGCATCATACAGTAGAAGTGTTTCCATTTCAAATAATGTTTTTTATTATCAAAAGGAGCAATAAAACAGACCAAATTGTTAACAAATATTATAGTGAACTATCAAAAAATCCTATTAAACTGGATAACTCAACTACTGTAATTATATCAGTCTAACTTAATATTCGGTCCATTTCCGTTAGTGATTTTCAGAAAATGATATTTATTTCGACATTATTTCAAATCGTACAGTGTTAACAAAAACATACATCATATCAAAAAAGGATAATTTTATTGCAAATTTAGTGTTTAACTTATTCAATCACAATATTAAAACAGTATGATAACTATAGCTGTGTAAAATTAAGGGAATATGTACAATATAGATACAGCTTAATATATTATACAGGTTTATGATAGTAAGTATACTTATATTATCTTACTAATATCACAGTTTAAAGAGAGTCTAACAGTTGTGAAACGAATGTACTTGTACAGATCAACGACGGGCGCCTTGCAGGACAGTGGGCGGCGCGACCGTGCCAGCGCACTGTACAATACATGCTGTTGATGTTAGCATTTTTATAGTACTTAAAGCAGAAAAACATCTATAAAAAGAAAGTGTCACGAAAATATTTGGCAGTGCAACACTTGTAAATGTATTTTTCTTGTAGTATAAAAAAATGACTGTTCAATAAATGTTTTTAACTTATGTACATAATGTTAATAAATAATAATGAGTATAATAATATTCAAAATTATATGATTCCCCATTTCGTGACAACCTAGCATTTTAGCAACAAAGGCGTTTATAGTAAATATCTACACGGGTGGCGGCATTGGCTGACACAGAAGCGTTTCCTAACTGTATGTCTCCTTAAACTGTGCTAATATGGAACATTAAAAATCAAAAGGTCTTATGAAATATTTGGTTGTCGTATTTCCGATTTTATAGTTACACATTTACAACCGTTCATCCCACTGCTGGGCACAGATCTCCCATTTCTAAAAGGAATATGTAGCAATTTATTTCGAATATATGTAGGTATATACCTTAAAACTTATAGTGTAACGTTCAATGGCATTTCTTTCACGTCTAAAGTTCAAGAAAATAAGTTTTCTTAAGTTAATTTTTGAAACTTAATGGATTTTAAAAGACATAAAAATAATTGTGTGTATTCATAAACTTCTTGGCTGACTTTTTCAGCATTTTGCAACAACTTGGTAACCACATCTCTAAATACCTTTAGGATTTCCCATTGCCAATTTGCGGATAATTTCGATATGTCAACAACTTTCTTTTCGGCGTCATTTAATTTTAGACAAAATTTTCTTTTCGAATTAAACAACGCTAGACAAAGTACAACAGGTGGTGCATTCGATTCCCGTTGAAATGCTAATTTAAATTTTAATAGGCAAACGAAATCAGACGACAATGTTTCATTACCATCTAATAAGGTAATGTTATGTACGTGCAGTAAATTTTTAAAATATCGAAATGGAGAATCTGTTCTAGTGAAAGGCAAGTCAACTGAATCCATCAACACATATTCTCCATTATTACTTTCTGCTGAAGCCGACGTACTTTCTCCGGCTGCTCCTGAAGTAGTATACTGAACTGAATTTTGAAGGTCTTGGTTATTCGAAATACTTAATTGAGGTGCTGCAATATCTCCCATATAAACTACGTTCTCCCTGTTTTGGTGAGTTATACCACTTTTTTGATTTGGGTTTATAATGTTGCTACTTTGTTCTGCTTGTTGCTTATGCATGTTATTGAGGGCTTTATCCGACATTAACTCAGAGACAGGTTTTACTTTTATCCGTGGTGTATTCTTAATGGAGTCTTGCTGATCTTCACAATTTACGGTATCACTTTCATTCTTACTTACACCATTTTTTTTACCCCTACACTCTTCTGGCATCTGACAATTGGATACAGTCGGTGATATCAAATCAACATTTTCGTCATTGCTTTTTTGTTCCTCCGTGACACCCGACGTTCCGATAGCTAAAGAAACTGTCGACGTTATTACCGGCATAAGTAAATGTTCATTAGAATCTTCAACACGATCAACTAAGACAGATTCGTCTCCTGGGGCTGTTATGATAAGGTTTTGCTTCTGATTTAAAAATTTATTTTGATTTTCATTTGTATTTGATTTTTTTGGAAGTTGTTTAGGATTGGCTACCGGACTGGCATTCAAAATTTGTTTGGGTAAGGGAACATGGTTCACATTTAAAAGCTTTTTCAATAAACAATCTCTTTCGTCTGTAATCTTCTGATCAGTACTAATAATTTGGTCTGGTAATACTTCTGTAGTATTTAGTTGAGATTCTGTAATTAATCCACTATTATTCGCTCTTATGTTCATAGTAGCCTTATCAGTTGATGGATTTAAAATTTCAGTAGTTAATTTATCGTTAACAGTGCCAGCACTACTTCTCTCAGAGTCGTTGTTTAGCTCTACGTTCTTTAAAATTTCCCATCCATAATCTGAGGCATTGTTTTCTTCACAATTTTTCAATTTCATCATTATTCGTACATGACTGGAATGTGTCAAAAGTGATGGAATCCATACTATGTCAAGATTTTGATGTTCCAAATACCGTAACAGTCCAGTGCAATTAAAACCTGCGTTATTTATTACCTTTCTTCCAATACTTAACACCTTATGTTTAATTGAAGAATCTATTTTACGCACAGGTTTTTGTATAATGTTACATGGTATTTCGGTAGACTCATGTCCTTTGGCAGACTCAAGTCTTATTAAGAATTTTTTGTAACACACAGAAATTATATTTTGTATCGTTTTATAATCGCCGTCCCTTATTGACAGTAATAAATCCATATTTGTTTCATTCTTTTCAGTGTTACTACTTTTGCAAGACGCAGTATCAGAGGAGTCATCTATGTTGATGCATTCAGCATCATTTTGCTCTAAAGAACTAGAAACTGGAGCAATTACTTGTTCGGACGGTATTTCGACATCACGCTTAGCAGAATCTTTAATATTATTTTTTTCCAGGACAACAGTTTCATTTGAACTTCTCGAAAGTAATCGACGCCGTTTCTTTTTGACTTTAAAAATTGGCTCATTGTCGCTAGACTCTGCACTACTCAAACTTTCTTCGCCTTTTAAGACTTCTAAATTTTGGCTATCTTTGCTAACTAACTGTTGTTTTGGTTTGAACAAAGTATAAAAAAAGCGGTCCTCTGACTTTATGAGCTTGTTCCAATTATGCACTACAATTCGTTCTGAATCACAAATGTTTGGCTTAACATCCACTTTGTTCAACTTAACAGAACAATGACTATTTATACATGTTTGGTACTTAAATAACAAAGATGAATGTGTGTTAATGTGTCGTATCATACCAGATCTACTTTTATAACTTTTATTACAAAATCTACATATAAACCTTTTGTTATAATTATTTTCCCATTTATCTCGGGGTGGTTTTTTTATACGTTTGTAACTTTTTATTCGTTTATTTTTTAATTTTATTGATGTATCTGTGTCTGACTTATCAGATGAAGCACTATAAAAAGTAATTTCTTTTCTTCCTTTTCTATCCTTTACTTCACTGGCTAATTGTTGAGTGGAACTAACAGTTTCTTGTTCGGGTTGTATCTCAGTACCAAGGGATGTTGCCTAAAAAATAACGAACATGTAAAATAAGTAAATAAAAATTACAAAGTAAAATAAAGAATATAAAAATGTATTAGAGGTGCATGGTTGAGCCATGTCTTACTAAATATTGTTTTTCATAAAATGAAGGATTATCATAACGATGCCGTGAAGGAGGCTGGAATCTAAAAGAGACACAGCACTACAACTTTAGGCAAATATTACATTCGCTTAAAGTTGTATTCGTTCTTATTTACACATATTTTAATTATAAAAGCATTAAGAATATGTGTCATACATGCAAAACTTTCAAGATCTTTCAAATAAGTAGGATTTTATAAGATCTTTCAAATAAAGCGAATATTTAGTAGGTACTCATTTATTTAAAATACCTACATAATAGGCTCATAAAAGTATGCTTTATTCTTTGCAAATTGAGGGCCTAAAAATAAAGGTAGATATGATAATTCGTAGATATATTTATTAGAAATATTGTTTGACTCCTAAATTAGCGGTCAAGCCGATAAAAACAGATAAGAGCATGTTGAGATTAGAGAACCTTACTTAACACTCATTACTTTGTTAAGCTTAGATTTATTAGATTATTTATTTACGAAGTTACATAAAGTTAAGTCACCCAAGTTGCCATTAATGGATTCAATTATCATTTATTAGGTTGTATGTAGTTCCAATGTAAAGAGAATAAATAATACTGGTAGTAATTCTCTAAATCGTTTATTGTGTTTGTATCTGCGTCTTACATCATTTATTTTCTTCAGTAATAAAAATCTTGAATTACACTGGCCTCCAAAAAAATCGACTCACCCGTTAATTTTTAGTAACAAAGTTGTTATCTTAAGTATGCGTTGACATATTTGTATGAGTACCCACTTGATATTGTTTTAGAGGAATATAAGTGCTATTGTGGGTATTTGTAACATTTTAAGCACACTGATAAAAATTATCGACCTGTGCATAGAGTGCAAGATTAGTTTGTTTCGGACTTTGACGCGTAATATTCTTGCTTCTGTGCATCGTAGTGGCTTAATCTTTTAATTCTTTGTTGGAGCAGACATATCGTTACTTTTAACCATAAAGTATGGATACCACTGAAGCAGAAACCGCTCAAGTGGTAGCTCTCGTTCGTGAAGTGCTAAATCAGCAAAATGTGGCAAGGAGATTAAATTTGAGTCGATCAGCAGCGCGTAGAGTTTATAAACGATACTTAGAGATGGGAGAGTACCGCCGGAGACCATGGTCTGGAAAAGGACGTTTCACAAACCCGACGGATGACCGTTTATTGCCTTGACTTCTTTGCGAAATCGGCATCTTTCTGCTGTTGATGTTCAGTGTAGGACTGAGGAAAATTCGTGGGGTGTCTGTAAGTGAGAATACGGTGAGAAAAAGACTTCAGGAGCAAAACCAGACACTACACAAGCCAGCGACGGGACCAAAACTCACTGCATCTCATCGGCAGGCAAGGTTATAATTTGATAGGCAACAGCAATGGAATCTTGGTCAATGGGAGACAGTTCTCTTATACTAGATGTTCTGAGTTGGTTTTCTTTCGCAATTGTACGGTTAATGCCGAAAGTTAAATAACGGACATTTTGCAACCTCATGTGATGAATTACGCTGGGTGTGTAGGGAACAATTTTCAACTCTTGCATGTTAACACAAGACCGCACGTCGCTAGAATTGTAGCTGGATCTTTTCAGGTCGGAATTCCAGTTATACAGTGGCCAGCTAACAGTCCGGACTTAAATCCCATCGAGCATCTCTGGGACCAGATAAAAAAAGGTTAGGGCCCGAAATCCAGTTCCCAAGACGTTCATCAACTGCAAGCCGCCTTAACAGAAGAACGGGAACAGACAACCCAAGAAGACATAAAAAAGCTGATCCGTTCCCTTAATAGGCGTATGCAGGCGGTGATAAAAGCAAAAGTAGAAAACACCCCATATTAGAGTAAAGTTTACATTTTTTTAAATGTCAAAAAATGTAAATATTGATTTTCACCGTAAAATCGTAAATTTTGTAAAATGTTGTGGTTTCAATGTCTCATCACATTTGTATGTAAAATATCCCGTTCCACGCGCCGTTTTTTAGTTTTATACAACCCTATAATTTTATTATTACATTATCAAGATAGAAAATATCTATCGATTATGGTAAAAACCCATAAGACACTTTTATGCGAAAAAACGTAGGTGGGTCGATTATTTTGGAGACCAGTGTATTTATTTTTACTATATTGTATTAACCAACTGACCTCCATAATACTATTACGCTGGATTATATCTATAAAATGTATATCTATAAAACGTTTGTGGCAATTTAAACGCCGCCATTGAACGTACCGGGAACTAAATTTGACTTAGTTTGCAAATGGCCGTTGTTTTACTCAAAACGTCTAAGAGTATTTCTCTCTGTAATCTAGGAGAATTGCTAACGATCCGCTTATTATATTTTCATGTATTTTATGTTGTAACGCACGCATATTTGCGCCATCCATCATGAGTGCATCTGAGGATGATCCTTTTTCGCCTACATCAGACGTGGGATTAAGTTCCTGTTATCGCATATTGTCATGGAATAGTGTGATGAAGGCGTGGTGATGTACCGCTCGCTCTTGAATGGAAGTATGCTGTCGGCGTAGGACGCCGCGAGCGGATTAGTTACCGATGCTGCCGACTCAAACTTGATTTGTTTTAACAGTGGTAGAGCCACGCGGCAACTTTTGTTGTTGCACGTAAGGGCCGGATTGAACCGGAATGGGTACCACGACCTCAAAGAAAACCAGCGGAAAGTAGAGGCTCTGCGCTTCGCCTGGTGAGTAAGGGTGGCCGGATCAACATGGTAGCGGAATCAAATAAAAACCTACCCCAGAAGGGTACAAGCACCCCTGGTGACGGAGAGCACATCGCACATCGGAGATTATCCACGACCAAGCTATCCTACTCTTCCTGAGCGTGGGTGCTCGGGATGTCCCGCGTATTCTGGAAGAGGGGAAGTGACAAATTTTCGCTCAAGGTAAAAACTGCTAGGGGCAAGTTGAGCAATAAGACCAAGGCGACCCCTGTTACACTATCCGTGGATTTTTGACACATCATGGGATTTCACATGAACCTAAATGCCGTCCACTACCATCTGGAGACGGCGAAGCCGGCATTGCTCATTCTGACCAAGACGCAGGTGTCCTCTCCTACTTACGATACTTCGTATCTCTCCTACCCGGGGTACAAACTAGAAAACACTCTTTTGTGCCTCAGGCCGCAGTTTGCGTATACGTCAGAGACGACATCTTTTCTCGAGGCCTCGGCAATCTTGAAGGTTTGGACCTGCCCATCCTTTGACTACGCGTTGACAGCGAAGACCAGCGCGCGTCTACGGGTGCCTCTATAGGCCTCATAGCGGTAATGTCGAAAAAGACCGACTAATCGACCACGTACATATGGTTGCTCAACAGATTTCATCTGCAGAGATCGCGATACTTGGCGATTTTAACACCCACCACGCCGAATTCCTACGCGGATTCCAGATGTGGTGGATTATGTACCTTCCGTGATGGATCTTCTGCTGAGCTCTCATGCGGACGGATTTCAGATCTGCCAAGGGCTTGGCTCCTCGATCCATTGTCTAGTCCAGTGTGGTGCCACTCACGCTAACAGGCATGCCGCCATGTTGAGATAGAAGCATCAAGGTCGTAGTAGATGGTGCATATTCCAATTACGAGCCTATTAATGCTGGTATTCCACAAGGTTGCGCGCAGTCACTCACGCTGTTTCTTTTGCATATCAATGATTTGTTGCAAACCGGTAACATTTATTGCCATGCGGATGATAGCACTGATAATGCTCTATACACCGGCTGTGCCAATATTTCACGGGAAAACGTCGCCGAGTACAACATACTTGTGTTTGCTAAATAAAGTCTCAGATTGGGAGCGACTAAATATAGTCCAGTTCAATCTCCAGAAGAAACAAGTGCGTTTACTGTTAAAAATAAACCCCTTTGTCGTATCTCCTCAGTTTCAAGGCACTCCTCCAGTTGCCTCAGCCAGTATCGGAATCCTCGGGGTCCATATCGAACGATGTGCAGTTTCATATCACTTGAAAGAGAAGGAAAAATTGGCCTCTAAAAAGCTTGGCGTGCTCAGCAGAGCGGAACAGTAATGAATGCCGGCACACCACATGGAACTTACAAGGCGCATTTTCGGCCTCACATGGTGTTCCCATCTCTGGGCCGAGGCTCCTCAGTGCCAGCTTCTTCCACTTGACCGCATCCAGTGCAGCGTCTCGAATCGTCGACGATCGAGTCGTCTCGGATCGGCACTTGGCTCTACCACGTATAAAACTCCTTATTACTCCAAAATCTATAACCAACTATAAACAAAGCAAGGCAAATGCGTTATATATAACCCCTACGGACCAAGTACGATTTCTCACAACCCATAATATTAATAGCTTTCAAAGCTTGCTGGTTGGATAATAAGTCATGAGTGTGTTAAATACTAATTGGAACTCTATAAAAATCTAAATTAGATAAAGTACAATTATAATATTATAAATATTATATTTCATTTCTTAAGCGCAAGCGCGTAGGTATGTTCTACTAACGCCTAAAAATCAAGAATCACGAACGAGCACGAACACACGTCGCAACAAAGTTTGCAATACCATCCACACCATCTGGATGCTTGGCGGTCCACCACTGTACATTTCACCAGTTTTTTCCTCGTACGACCTCTCTGTGTAATGGTTTACTACCAGCGATCTTTCCGGACTGATTTCTGACTGAATTTCAAGAAAAGAGCTTGCTTCTTTCTATAAGGCCGGCAACGCCGTTGCAATTACCCTGGAGTTTTAGTTCTTCACGGCCGGCGGTAGTCACTTACCATCATATGAGCCACATGCTCGTTTGCCCCCTATTCGTAAAAAAAGGCGAGAAGAAAGTTAATTTGTCTTAAATATTGCTTTGAAAAAAATATTTTGTAGTAACAAGCGGTTAACTGTTTAATTGGTTAA